AAACCCCCCCCCCCCCCTCAACCCGCGAGATTAAGAGATTCTAGTTTGAGATAATATCCTAATTATTATGATAGACATTGTTAGAAAAAAACATTTTGTTGGTAAATAAAACTTTAAAAAAACGAACATTTTATCAAAATATCGGAAAACTGTCAGGGATCATCTATGACAATTCTCTGCATCGAAATGGTTATAAAAGATAGATATTACAAGCCAAAGTTTTTTACAGTGTAATTTAGCATGAAATGTTTTCTATTGCAGCATGGATACAATCGAACGTTTTAACGGGGCCTTTTGGACAACACTGACCAACAAGCTAAATGGGAAAAGATCTTATCATTGTTCTGTAGCAATAAGGTAATATTTATCATTGTTCTGTAGCAATATGGTAATATTTATCATTGTTCTGTAGCAATAAGGTAATATTTATCATTGTTCTGTAGCAATAAGGTAATATTTATAATTTTTCTGTAGCAATATGGTAATATTTATCATTGCTCTGTAGCAATAAGGTAATATTTATCATTGTTCTGTAGCAATAAGGTAATATGCTATTGCTAGATGGATATCTTGGAAGTACCCTGGCTAAAGTAGAGAAGTAAAATATTATTGGTTTAGTAATACTGAAATGGTAGTGTTGGGTGGATATAATGGAAGTACCCTGGCTAAAGTAGAGAAGTACAATGTTGACGGATATCTAGTTGAGACTCTGGAAAGTATGCCAGTGGCCAGGTAAAGTTTAATATTTAAAGGGAATTCGAATATGAACGTTAGTATAGGATTAACATTTTTATTAAAACATTCAACAAGAAGCAAAGTAATATACTATAATATACTATGACGAAGTTCAATTAAATTTTTATTCAGTCTTTATCTCTTACTTTTTTTAGAACACTTCCTTACGTCGCCTTTTTCATTGTAAACTTTGGAGTTCTCCAAGAATATTTTAAACACCTCATGCGTTTTATCTTATCAACTAAGAATTAAATTATACTATTTGAATTCATTTAAATAAGGGCATCTTTGATTCACAACGGTACCCTTTAAACCTCTGAGTCATCAAGGATGACAGAGCTTTCCTTATTTACAGGGTGTCCCACGAAACATGACAGTTGGTGAATAGTTTAGAATGTCATCTTCTATAATTTGTTAAGTTGATTGATACCAAGACAATAATAAAAATATTATATGGGAGTCATAGTAAACTTGATTTCAAAGTAAAATATTTTAGTGGAAAAGATTTTTTTAACGAAATGAACTGCAAAAAACCTTTAATATTCTAATACAGTATATGTGGACGACATTCAAAACTATTTATCAACTGTCATGTTTCGTGGGACACCCTGTATGAAACGTTTGTATTGGTTGATCACTAAGTTGGCTGTTTCTTATTTGGAGAATGTTAATAATTACTTTCTAGAAGTAGCAGAATATTCACATTAAGAATATTTTTAACCACGTTGGAAATATAATAAATGTTTACACATGTACGCTAGCGGATACTCCAATTTTACGGCTTTTAACACAACATTTAAGAGATTTATACACTGAATTCTCTGTGCTCGATTATCAGTCAAAGGTTTATAGGGTATCGTTGTGAATATGGGATGTCTCTATGGGATATAGGATCACAATTGAACTTACGGGTACAGTCCCTTTGAGATACTAAAAAAATGTTTAGACAGAGGCTCGGATGTTCTTTTTACAATGATGAATTGTATGCCGCCGGTGGGTCGCTTACAAGGTAGATAAATAGTGATGTGCATTAAGTTTCGTTTTTCTGTCGTATTTTAAACTTTTCTTTTAAGGTCAAAATTTCGAATTGTGTAACAAATTGTTTATTCTAAACATTTTTTTTAAAGAAAATTTTCAAATTCTGAGCCTAACACCGGCTGACAGACGTAAAAACGATGCAAAAATCAACGTATTTAAGTGATCGTTTTGCAACGTTTTTCCATTTTTTTAAGAATAAAAATATTAGGATAAAAGCAAACTCTAAGAGAATACAGTTTTTAATCTTGGATATTACCAAAAAAAATTCTTAACAACACTACTAATGAGAACCTAAAACCAGTTTAATACTTTAAAGACGACTGTTCCGAACTGTCTGCAGTTATTTACGATTTCATGAAACTGTAAACTGTTGGCAAATAGCGCATTGAAAGAAGGCTTTATACAAAATCTTTAACAACTCCTCTTTTTAATTCTTTATATGTATTAAATAACTCTATTTTATTTAGTTTTATTTTAATTTTTTATTATTTAAATAGTTTGGATGAAATGTGCTAGATAAATTTTAACTTCCCTGGAATTTTATATTTTACTTTATATAATTGATTTCCATTTCCTGCCGAAGGTTTTGTAACTTATTCACATGAAACATCGCTAGCGTAATGGTGAAATAATAATTTTCTCAAAAATATTTCAAACAAATTTTCAAGCTAAAATTTTATTTTATAAAAAAATGTTAAATGTTGTTATCAAACTGATGTTCGTAATTATAAGTTGTTCTCGGTTCTTCAATGTTTTAATCAAAATGGTAAGATAATGATTACAATGATAGTACCAGAAATCTGTGAAATATAAAGACGACAACAAAAGCAATATATTTGTGTGTTTGATAGTGTTACAGCTGTGCAAATAATTTTACTAGGAACTTATTAAGATTATATGTGTTTCATGTTCTTCGCAGGTTTTTAAAGTTCATAACTAGAGTCTGAAAGTCGTCTTCCTAATTTCTGGATTTCACTGTAATATTTTAGTGGGGAAACCATCTCTGATGTGGATGTATATAACATGGCGACCAAGCAATGGAGGAAAATCAGTAATATGAACAATGTCCGACAATATCCTGGGTTGTATGCACATAAGGCAATGTTGTATATAAGGTTTGAGCTCCAATTTAAGTAAATGTCATCTTAATTGAAACAGAGACTCTAGGTCCTCATATGACGTCACTGATACTTAACTAACATTTTACAAATATTGATTGCCTAACAAGTTTGAAGCTATAACATGCAATTTGATTTCAGTGACGTCATATCAGGATTATTGAGTGTCCTTTACTATAAAGGTAGTCTTTACATACATTGGAGCGCATCAAGAGCAAGGTACTAATGCAAGGAAGGCTATTTCAGAGGTGTACAAATTTTTTGTCTCCAGTGTACTGTCTTTGGGAGGAAAAGTAAACACAAGACGGATGTCACAGCCTGACATGGAATCCATTTTCATAAAATAATCTATGAAATATTCTGGTCATAGGAAACTATTATGTGAATTTCAAAATTATCAAAATTAAATGCTTTTAACCTCGTCAGATACTAGACGAACACTGATGCATCTATTCTTGTTTACAAATTCCGCTCAGAGAGAACTGGTTTCAATATGTACGCACTTCGCACTACGCGATTAACTTTCCTTGCTTTAGTACCTTGATCCAGAGTATCTAACCTTTTTATACAACCTTGACATAAGGGGAAACTGATCGTATTTGGATGGGATCTCACTGTTGAAGAATATGATGGAGTCAGCTGGAAGTTTTCCAACACGGGATTAAGCAAATCTTTCCGGACCGGGGTTTCTGTACCTATTCCCTGCCCAACCTAGGCATAACATTTAAAGGAACTGTAAGCTTAAGTGACCCTTTATGTAATATAGCAATGCCCAATTTACAAAAAATGTGGACAAAAGCGCGGCTTTTTTGAATCAAAAAGTGTTCTTTGAGATTCTCCATTGTTTTAATTAGCAAGAAATGCCCAAGTTTGCAAACAAACCTAGATGAAAATAAACAGTTTGAATAATTAAAAATATTGATATCTAATGCATACTATTATAGTTCAGACAAAGCTTTTAAGGGTACTATTGTAAATCGGACTTTGCCATGCTTACATGAAGGCACTACACTTGAAATTACACTTACAGTTTCTTTAAAAGGAGAGACCGGCTAGACATGGTACAGTTAAACCCTAAATAAGCCATGCATTGAAAGAATTCATCAAATGTCGTATTCTTCACTTTCTGATAATGGAAAGTTGCAGATATTTGGCTTTTTAATGATTATATGGAACTCTTTAAAACTGTTCCCGCATATTCATGGCTATTTATTTATTTTCGCAAATACTGAAATTTACGTAAAATAGTATACAACCCATTGAAAAATTGCCAAGACGACATTTGATAAATTCTTTCGATAAGTCTGGAGAGAAACAATTTATAAACGTTAAAATCAAATTATTTTAAATTTTCAAATTTTATATATGATTATCCTCGGCTACGTCTGATATTTAAAATCTCAAATTTTTTCGAAAAACGTTCTTCGGAATNAAGTTATAAAACGCGTTTTCGTGGAAAAATGAATAAATTATTAATATTGATCCATACTATACGTCCTATGCTTTAATAGAAATCCCCCGCCCCCCCCCCCCCCCCCCTCTTTAGGGGAGTCTAGGTTGGGGAATAAGGGGAATACCAGGGGGCGGGCATAACTCTTCTAATTTTGCCTGGCTAGGTTTATACTGTACAGTGAATTTTGTCGAAAAATGTTTCCTTATGACTGAGCTGGTATCATAGAGTACAGTGGGTTTAATCCTAAGTACATCTATTTGTACAACACAACCTGAACACAAAGATTGTTTTGAACACAACATG